CCATTGTCCATCCGAATGCGTGGCGTCGGTACTTTTCGGCATTCCAGGCAGAAGTCCAGTGACGCCAGCTGTAGTTCTAATGTCGATGTGTACCAGCGACGTTCGCCCTCGTCGTACCCGTGGCTTAAGGCAACGGTGAAGACGTCGAGGCATCGGCTGCGGTTCCCTGACAATGGAGCAGTTGGCATGTTTCGTGTAGAGGCGTTTCGGTACGATCAATAGATAGTGGGTCTCGGCGCGGAGCGTGTAGGATATCGCTAAAGTACCTTCACGGGTGTTGTCGGCATTGCCTGTCTCAAGTGTTCCACTGTTTCTGCGGGTCACGTTGAAAAGTCGAAGGGGCAGAGAGTGCATTCTTGATCACGGAAGAATAAAGATATCAAACTGCAGAAGGAGCACCATTCACAAATCAATTAACCCAGCAAGAACCCGAAATCGAAGCGTCTTCCAACCGACTATTGAAGAAAGCGTCAGAATACGCAAGGACAACGAATGGCAGTGCACCGGGCAGTGGAGGTAATCAAACAGAGTACGCGATGGCAAGGTCACAGGCGTGTATCCTTGTACTGAGGTGTACTCGCTGTCGGGTGCACCGACCATGCCCAACCCGTTCCTCGAACGCGTTGTGTTCAACAAATTATGTGTAGGGGTTTCACGCTCAAAGACGCCGGTGATGTACGCACGCTCCATCCTAACACAGACCTAGGCAAGAAGGCCATCAATTTCCCCCACCTCCTTGTACAAATTCCATATGTCATCCATGAATCCAGTAGCACATGGAGCTGGTTGAATACATGGAGAACGACTCTGCAGTAATTCATAGAAGTAGTTCTGTGCGCCACGAAACCAGAGAATAATTCGCTTGTGTCTGATACGAAGAGTTTCGAAACTTAATGTAGGCACATAGAAGAGAGAAAAAAGAAGACACTCGTTGACATGCCCATGCACAGACACTTCCTTGTGGGATTCCTATACGGGTTGGGTGAAAGGCCAATGTGGAGCCCATCCATAGAGGCTGAAGCTGCTGAAACTTTTGGGGAAGGACCACGAGTTGCGATTCAAAGGTAAGCCATGCTTGAGAGGTGGCGAGATTTCCATCATATATGTGACACCTACAGCGGTACTCGGGCAAGAGTGTGACGAACGGGGCGAGACTTCAACCTGTACAAACCGGACGAATGAGGCTGGAGATTCACACATTTCTTACTGTTGGTGAATGTCGCTGGCTTGATGTCGAAAGATACGAGAAAAAAAAAAACGTGCGCGAGCCTGAGTGAACTTTCGTTACTGTACATGTACATGGTAAATGCATCTTGCAGGAACGAGGGTTGCCGCCCCCGGCCAGTGTGTGTTGTGTGTTTGTCCTCTTTGACCATTTCATTTCAGAATAGCATACTGCCCGCACTGAGGCATTTCTACTGGCGGGTCCTGCATCGGTTCATTCCTACATTCATATAGTCTAGATACACTGTCTTCTCTGGTAAGCCCGTACAGCAGCGTATAACGAGTCGTGATGGTGTTGGTGACTGAATGACCATGTAGGAGGCGGAACAGTCTCGAGCAGGGTCAGGCTGGCCCCGAGGATAAGTTGTCCCTGATGTGAGATGGACTGCTGTCTGGGGCCATTGGAGGACAGGTAGAGCGTTGATGTCCACTACAAATTAACATATATCGAACATGCCGTCGGCTTGATGTCGGAAGGAAACGAAAACGAAAAAAAATGGGCAAAAAAAAAATCGGCACGGCCAAACAACCGCACCGGTGGGGTAATTTCTTAACCACCCCACCCACCGGTGGGGTGGTTAAAGGCTTAAACACCCCACCGGCTGTATCTTGCTCTACAAGACTCCAATCAGCTCAGGACTTCAACGGGTGTGCTGCTGCGTTGCAGGGCTATCATTGGACCCATCGTGAGGCCGAAACGGCACAGTTTTCGTGGCGCCACGGTTGGTGGGGCATGGGGCATATACCAGTAGGTGGAGACCGTTGCAATCTAGACTACATACAGCAGTATTTTGCAGCGACAATTTTCGCCTACCATGTACGTACATAGTCCATGCGTAGCAGAGCAGTATCCAAGGTGACTCATGACACGGCAGCATCAGAGCACTGGGTACGTAGTGGTGACCGCCAACATGGAAGCCATATATATATGCGACGCAGGCCCAGATAGTGGTTAACGTTCCGTCCGACCAGACGACACCACAGAGCGCGAACGATCATGTCGCTGTGATCTACAGTAGATTACAGCCAGCCGTGGTCGCGACCGACAATCTGACCGCGCCCACGCCTATCGTGTGTAGCTATCTACTATGTATGTAGCAGGGATGGTCCTCTGCCCCCGCTTCTACTTCCTTTGTAGCAAAATTCAAGCATACAAGTAACTACCCCCAAAAGATGTGACACCTCGCAGGTGCTCTGGGAGCTCTCACTAGTCCGCTACAGTCCACACCAGAGTACACACAACAAGGATATACCTCCAACAGTCTAGTCTAGCTATGTACGGTCCAACCAAAACGAAGAAATCAGGTGAAACGCAACAACCCGTCATGTGGACGGTATCCATGCATTCGTGTGTGTCTTGCACGCACGAGAACGACCGAAGCCGACAGAGGTACATGTCCTTCCTCCAGCAAGCAGGGGGGGGGACTCCTCTATCCCCTGCATCAACTCACCTCCTCCTCCAAATCCGCTGGTGCTCACGATGATCCTCCGTTCTTAGTATCCACAAACCCTCCGCTGACAGCGGTGGACCGGCATGACAGACACGAGATCGGGCTTTCATATATCGTCGTCGCTGATGCCTCGCAACCGGCGTTTCCTGGACAATTCTGCTATTTCTGCTGCTGCTGTGCGGGCGTGAGCTCTTCGGTCGTTAAAAGGCATAGTTTGGGACTCTGCGACTCTCCACGCTGTGAATGGCATATGGTCCAGCTCTCCACCATTTGTCTATTTGTCTCCACCGGGCAGGGAGCACGCAATTGTTTTTTTCATTTCGCCAAAAGCACCCCCCCCCCTTGTCTCCGCCCACGGCGCCCCCCTCGATCTCGGTCTGTTCTCGCTGCTCGGGCCGAACAACGCAAATGTATCTGTCTGTTGTTGCTCTTACCGTCGCTCGAGTCACTACCCCACAGTGCGTTCTTGCCTCCCCTTACGAAGAGCTCCGATCCCTGGTCACAAGAAGAAGAGTCCCTTTGTGCACATAAATTAATGCAAATGAGTCATGCTATCTATCTTACAGGCGACCATTTCACCGGCGGGGTTTCATTTTTTATTACTGGTCTACAGAAGCAGTAGTCTTATTAACTATTTCCTCCAAAACCTCCAACAAAAACCAATTAAAACACCCTGTACGTTTGCAACTACCGACGACGTGCAAAATGATTATTGCCCCACAATACTTTAAATAATAAACTTTGTCGTAGGTTGGAAGTTTGATGCTCTCGGGAGAACGAAAAATAAATGTTCTGTTATTAACATTTTGCGGCGGAAAACGAGCAACATTTCGTGAGTTTCAGGCTCGGTCTTCACGATCGATGAGGGAAACCAAGGAGAGGTGCGTGATTGCACCCTTCGTTTTCGAGATAACCAAACTAAGGCGGGCACTGCACTTGCTTGTAGAAAAGGCGGTCTGAAAAAAATGTCCGGGGGGGGGGGGGCTTAGTGTCTGGCTGTTTGTAGATAGACCCGGCTCTCTCTGACGTTGACTATTTTCTTAGGCTGGCGCGAGAACAGCTGGCAAGACACACCGTGCGAGTCATGCTACGGTATCGGGGTCACATTTATGGACTTTATTCCATGTCATTTGCTAGTAGGCACGGTCACGTGTAGGATATGATGTGTTGCCGGCGGTTGACCCTCAAGTCCTTACACCATAACCGTAACTGAGGTTCGATTTCTTGTGAAGATGCTCCAAACGACCGGGGCCGGCACTGGTGTGCATTTACTTGCCGCCTTTCGAGGGCACAGCTGAAGAAAACACACAGGGGCAAAAAGCCAACCCTCCGCGTGTTTGCCGTCGCTGTGATGTGTTGCAGCGACCGTCTTTATTTCCCCGCCTGCCTGTCCACGAGCGTACTACTTGATACTTACTCAAGATTGTCAAACACGCCATACCTACCTATACTGGAAACGCGACAACATTGTATGCTATTGTTGTATCGTTCTTATTGCTGCTGCTGTTGTTGTCTTCGCATAAAAACCTGCTAACATCCGTGGTCTGGTCCAACTGACGCGGACGACGCCTTCCGTAGTCGCAGGCTAGCAACCTTGAGAGGACCTCACTACTGTACTTGAGATATAAAACGAAAAGGCGGATCAACACCAACACGACAAGACCCACACCTGGAAAAGAGTGTCCAAACAGTCAGCTGTAGTCGGACACCACAAGAAAGAGTGACATGTCAGACAAGAGAGGTCGATTTCACATGAGATCGGCATCGCGGAAAAACGTTTCCAAAAACACAAGCTATTTGACGGGTGGTGTGAAGTATTCGATGGACTACGCCAGGATTGTAAAGCCCGCCTCCCACCCTTCACCATCTGTCACAACCAAAGAACAGCCAAGCAAAGGGTGTAGTAGAGAGATACAGGATGGTCTACGCCAGGTTTCTAGAGCCCGCCCTCCAACCTCCACCGTCTGTCCCAACCCACACGCCGACCCACAGGTGTACAGATATAGGGTGGACGACGCCGGGTTTCTAAGGCTCGCTTCCCCTACCTCCATCACCTGTCCCAACCCACAGCACAACCCCAAGTCATGGGTGTATCAGCAGAGATAAAAGGATGGACTACGCCAAGTTTTAAAAGCCGGCGTCCCCAACTTCCGCCAGCATCAACCAAATTTGATCCAAAACGCGGCAACATCCCAAAGGGTTCCTTCTTTCCAAGTCCCCCTCCTGGGTCCGCTCGAAAAGCGAAACCTTGGAGTTGGGGTCACGGCGGGCGGCGCACGACGCTCTGCGGGTTACTCTACATACTGCGACCCCCCCCTCAACTCGCTACAAGAACCCGTGGAAACCGATGCCGCCGACGCCAAGCCCGGCGGCCACGCTCTCCGCCCCGGCGCCCGTGTCCATGGACAGCGGCCCGCCCGTGAGGAACGACGAGATCGTCATGGGCGATAGGACGGCCAGCGACACCGCAGCGACGACGACGCCTAGCGCGAGCCGCGCTGGGCTTCGGACCGGGGTAACCTGCGGTTGAGTGCAATGAAAAAAAAAAAAGTTGTGTTTGTATCCACGAAAAATACCCGTTCCGATCTCTCTATCCAAACCTCCCTCTGCTTGTCCGGATTCAACACTTGGCGTGGATCGTGCTGGGGCATGTTCTGAGTCTCTTTTGCTATTTTTTAAGATGTATTTGTGTAGTTCACGAGGCAGGGCTATACTCCAGGTCGGCGCGATAAACGTTGCATGGCTGTTGTAGATTGCTGCCTGATTTTCTTGTTTTCGAGGGAAAAGGCAACAAGATCTGACTGATAAAGAATAATGAGTATTGGGTGTTTCTTAGTGTTCGGTATTGGGGACGCAACATGCACAAAAACTGAGAAAAAAGGGCTAAGAAACACAACTCGGAGGGGGATTCTTGCACTAACTTCCATACAACAACCTGTGCTCGGCAGTGGCGACGAATAAAGAAACTGAGACTCGACACGGTTTCGACGTTTCTCATTGATATTTGGGCCCGTACCTAGTGGCCCTACGATTTGCGACTGAGGTAGCACACCAAGCGGATATATAAACACATCACAGAATATTCAGGAAGTCACTTACGTTGTCCTCTCTCATGAGCGGTGCAGACTCCGGGTAAGCAATGAAGTTCACAAGCAGGACGGACAGGAGGAACATGCCGCCTCCGATTATTTGGGACACCTGCGCGCGTTCGGAGGTTTCCGGCACAACAAAAAAAAAGGTGAAGAAGTTCGTTTCTTGTTGCCTCCGACTATTTGGCGTATTCGGATAGCGACATGGCCGATGACGCTGTGCTCACCACCACGCCCACTCTACCCTGCCGGCCTGCCTCCCAGGCAAAGGTCTCACTAGTACGACACATATTTCCCCACAAGTCACGAGTTTCCCAACATGGGGAACGTGCAAGTGCGCGTTTGGGCGTTTGGGCGTTTCGGGAGAAGACGATGCGAAGGCATTCGCTTCTTAGAACAAGCTGGTACACAGCAGTGTGCGGCCGCGCACTTTGCTGAAACGAACAGACAACGCAACGTCTGCACCTCCAGAAACACTGTCAGCATGTTACACGTCATCGTAGCACCCGCACCAACGCACCATCACCACACCCAGATTCCTCAAAACCAAGACTCCCGCCTTCAAACAAGCGCACGAACACCCATGAGATGAAAGAAATACCGGTGAGCTAGGGGCCCAACACTACTGCCGAAGCTCCGAGCGGAAACGGGAACTACTGCCCATGCGAAGAAAGTAACTTCAATACAATAAGAGTCCAGGCAGAGGGCGCACGGACCCTACAACCCTAACCCCAGCTTTAAGACAGTTCTACACTTTATACAGTATGTTTGCATATTATGAAACACCTGCGTAGACTATTGAACACGACAAAAACAAGACGAAAGCAGCGCAGCTAATCGCGGCGGTGTCATCTCATGCCATCTCATGCAGCGTGAAGGAATCTAGCATAAACCGGGGTGGAGACTCGCCTCTACTGGCGTGGGAACTCCTCAAACCTGTTTAGACGACAGCCGTTTCGCTTTGTACTCCTCTCGGTGGCATCTATTCATACAGGTTATCCCTCCGAGGTGGGTTGGCTGATGAGAGCACAGTGTCATCTAGGGGTGGCGCAAGATGACCATAAAAGCGGGCAGAAGGACCAACCCACACACTGGCCGCTGCCAGCTGCAGGGTGACGTTTCCCAAGCTCAGCAACTCACACAGCTGACGAGGGTTCAACTCGAAAAAGCTGGCGAGAACCTCAACGCACCAAAAAGAAAAAACGAACTAAATCTGTATAACGTCTGGCAATCCCACCGAGCGGCCACGCTTGCTGACGGGCTGGCTCAATCGAGTCGAGCACGAAAAACACGTGACTGAACGTCCATTTTTCCCGCGATTTCACCGGCACAATAGCGGGCGCCCCACAGTACTGCCCCCCGCCGCTTGCTGGTCCATCCTCGTCAAACGTACCTGGGCCGGCGAAAATCCGGAACGTCGCTCCGTACCGGCATATTGCAGGGATGCAAGGTCTACGGTTCTACGACTAAGGCATGAGCCTATTCGAGTACCCCTGCCATATCGGCTCAGCGCGAACACGTAGGCGAAGCGCGTGGCAACGCTGTGTACTTGAAGTTGGTTTCGAGAACATCGATCGCCGCTGCACCACCCCCGCCCCCCCCCCCCCCCCCC